TTGGAGTATAGTCGTGTCATTCAGAACGCAATAGCCAAACAGTCGAGGAGAATGAAGAATCAACTACCCTAGAATAGGGCTTTACTCATCTTATAAGTAACCTACAAGAACTAAAAAAAGGATGAAGAGTGGTTAGAATAATGTAGACAATAAACAAGCGTTCATTAGGAAGCAGGGATGAATGTTAATCAACGAGGGTGAGAGGGCAGGGGTAAACGAGGGTCGGAGGAGTATTAGCGCGACAACTTGGCCGTGCCAAGCCAGCCATTCTCTGGGATTATCCGTTCCCCGCTAAGCCTTTTCAGTTCACGGAGCAAGTTCAACACGCTGTACGACATCACATCGCTACCACTGGCAGACCCTTTCATGCTCACCCGTGTCGGCTTCACCCCGAGAAGCTTCAGATCGCAAAGAATGAGTCCGAGCATATTTTGAATTTTGGGATTATTCGACCGTCGTCCTGTCCATGGGCTACGCCACTGTAATGTTCTGACCTATCCGTGGCCTTGACAAGTCCGGTGTGTGGTTTGATAGTAAAGGGGGTTGTCGGCTCTCGGCAGATAGAATAGAGATCCCTTCTAAAATACGGTTAACCTCGGAACGTGCAGCAGACAAGTTTTTTGTATCCTCAGACATTATGACACAACGTAGAAAATAAAGAGGGAATGTTCTGGTGTCGGTTTCGATTTAATGAGATGGTATAGCAATAATGTGTAGTGTAGGAAAACTAGTATAACGAAACTAGTGGGAAAAATAACCAAAAGGACTCTAACGATACAAAACCGATAAGGAATGAAAATGTCGAACCGGGAAATAATGTTAACGATTTCGGGACGGTAGGGGAATGGCACGGGAACGGTAATAGTCTGATACTTGAACCGAAGAGGGTCAATTCTCGGGTCAGAAGCGTGACTCAGCTATGTCTCTGAAAAATTGAAAAAGAAAAGTAACCTTGATGGGCTAAAACAAACATGAGGTTCAGCAGGTCAGGTTGGCTCGTTACATAGCTCCCTCAAAGTACAGCGCTGTCCTCAGTGCTGGTGGTGGTGGTAGGAGAGGAGACTTCCACTTCGATCGCGACGGGGAGTAGCAGGTCGTCGGGTATGATGTCTAAGGTGTCGAGAGGTGTGTCGAGGGTTGTACAGTTAGAAGAAGGGACTGTGACGTCAATTGCAGCGGGAGGGAGCAGTCCATGAGGACAATGGGGAGGGTGTCGGGAGTACAAATAGGAGGTTGACCGCGGTAAGGTTTGAGTTTAGAGAAGTGGGCGGTGAAGGCGAGTGAATCGGGGTGGGTCGTATCGTGGATGACATAGGTGGTGGGGGAAAGAACCTGCAGAACGGTAAAGGGGCTCTGCCACGG